GGAAAAGATCCTAATTTCGGATTTATTGCTTTTCGCACATGGGCTGACCACAGTTGACTTTGAGATCTCACTGCCCAATCGGAATTCCTTGACTGTTATTGTTGGTTGATGTATATTATTTTAGTACGCTATTTTTTGTAGCTCTCCCAAGGACGTTTCTATCATGTATAAATAAAACCTCGATTTGTATGCTTGTGAACCTTATATTTTCTGGGTGCTTGTAAAATAATATGCTTTCTACACTATATCAAGACTTCTTCCTCCACTTAGTGCGGCCTTGGGACGCTCGGATTAGAGTAGTCTATCGTGTTACTGTATCATTTTTCTTTGTTCTCGTTTACCGAGTAAGGTGAACTCGTAATAGTATTATTCAAGCATATCAACCGGTAGCAAGCATGACAGCATCACACAAAGATGAAACATATTGTCTACAGCATTCTGAATGCCAATAGTTATTTTCTAACCAAGATCATCATTCAATGTGATTTGAACTACGAAAAACATTTTAAACAACGACAATCGTTGTGAATGTGAATTTCTATCGTTCAATCCACTTCAATTATATCGAATGTACAAATAGTCTGTGACAGAATAAAACGCTATCAATGGTATCCCTATTCAGACACAATAATATAAAGAAAGCTAATAACAAGGCAATTTGTACAGAATGCACATATTTCAAAAGAGATTTGATCAATAGCAGTTCTAAAAAATATCAATGGGAAAATTCAGACAATCAATAAAAAAAAGGGAAAAGTCTGCTAAATTACAGAATACTAGAAAGCTCTTTGACTAGGAAATTCTAGAGAACAAAAAAGTAATTGGAAATGGGATTGAAGTAAGCTCAAAGGGACTTTTCATATAAAATCATGTTAGGGAAAAAAATCCCATAGGCTAAACTAAATAACGAACTACCGACAATTTTATGATCGTCCTAGATATCAATGTCACGTAATCCAATGTTGTTCCTTATTGGTCGTCTTCTTTCACAGTGTGGGCAGCCGGGAAGGGACAAACACCCTCATACCCGTAACAGCACATGAGAAGAACAAATCGGTCACAAACAAATCCATCCTACTTCTCCTAACATCTCTCTTATCTCCATCGCTACCACTATTGGATTCGAACTGACAGTTGCATCTCTGTGCTAATGCGGTATGGCAACCTGAACTGATGTACGTACGTACGAAGTTCTACGTTGTAACTACTGACTGACTAACTTATTGGTCGTCTTAACTGTCAATATCACAGACTGCGATACTCTTTCCTATTCGACCTAAATGTATAAATACGCATGCTGTCGTTAGGAAACGAGTACTAGGTAAGGATGACAGATCAATAGATGCAGTGGTGAAACTTCATCAGTTGAGGTGGTTGGGACATGTGTTGCGTATGCCCAACCAGCCAACTGCCTTCGACGAACTTTGTTTTGTAGTGTAGGAGTAGACTGGAAGAATGTTAGGGGCGGCCAGACCAAAACATGGCAGAAATCCATGAAATCATTGACTAGTGGACTGAGCCATGTCGGTAATTGTCGACTACCTGGTTGGGGTCCGTGAGATGATAATAATCGATGGTTAGAGACCTTGAATGACGGCTCAAAATCGTTCACAATGGCGCCGGTGCATTTATTCTCTGTGTTCTCTCAATTCCTAATCTTCTGGATTCTTCAACCGCTCTAGTTTCGACTCTCTAAACTTTTCTCACTGAATCATATTTCTTGAATAATATCTTCTAATCCTAACCTCTTCGATTACTTCTCATACCTTCGCTACCTCTTCTACTATTGGATTTGAATTGACGATTACTTCTCTGTGCTGATGTGGTATGGCAACATGAACTGATGTACTTATGTACAAAGTTCTACGTTGCATCTGACTGACTGACTGACTGATAAATACGCATTATCTGTCAAGATACCATTCCTTCTTTCCTTCATCTTTACTGTACTCGACCCCGTAAACAACTTCACTGTACGGTGTTTTGTGTTCTGATATATACGACATTTAGGAGTAGTATTCGGGGTCGTATTGGAATATCTGAATTCGATCAATCGGTAGGATTTGAATAGCTGCTACTTAGCGTAATTCTAACAAACAGTCAAATCAGACAATCAAATCAAATTATAACAATAACGAATGAATGAATTAATTGTGAATCAAAATGGCATGTACCAAAAATTCATGATAGTTGCAACCAACCATTCATGAGGTTCCATTTTAAAGCCGATAAGAATAAATAAACAAAAAAATTGCATATAGATTGAAACAATGTAAAACATAAGATTACACCATTCAATAAAATGGCAAAACAAACAATTCAAGTCGTAAGTATTCACTTCACTTACCATAAAGATTTATTTCGAAGTACCGGTGGTTTGTAACTACGCATACCAAGTATTCGTAAAGCTCTATGAATGAATGCAAAAAACAAAAAATATTCATAGATAACAGATATACTATGTAGATGAAATAAATGATCAGAGAATGCCAAAAAAAATTTATATAATAAATATTTAGATAAGTTAAGATATTTCATCAATTATCCTATTTTTGTAAGTCTAATTCTATTATTGGTCAAATATTATGGTCGTCCTAGCTATGTCAATGTCACATACTTCAAATATTGTTTCCTATTCGACCCAACTGTATAAATACGCATTATCTGTACGGTTTTATGATCAGGATCCCTAGTCCGGGATCCTTATCCTCTTCTGGACTCAGACCTCGTAATTTTTGGATGCTTGTAGAATACACGTTCTATTTCATATCAACTCAATGAGGGTTTGAGACAACCAGATTAAAGTAGCATGTCGTGTCGCAGGATCGTCGATCCTCGCTGTTGTTTTTCGACTAAAGTAAACTCATAATAGTTCAGGCATATCAAATAACGTGTATTATACATGCATGCGTAACAGATAAGTTAGTATTATCAAGTGAAAATCATTACAACATTTACAACAACGCAACATGATTGATTTTCCAATTCTCTAGAGCCAAAGTGCATCAATGATTTGGAATGAGTGTTTTAAATGGAATCGCCGTGTCCACTAACCTGATTTACACTTTGCTGGACACTCATTTTTCGTTGATTAAGGCTTCCTTGGTAGTAGGTACATGTGAGAGCATTTAAAGAAGGAGAGTAGACTCTTTCCACTTTCCCCTGTACACAGACATTTGGCGGTGTGATACGATTTGGTAGCGTATACCAAAATAAGTTGAATAGTGGATGAACATATAGGCCATTTGGTCCTCTGATAATTCTCCATTTATATACAACCCAGCTATTCTTAATGCTTAGTAGTATTCTCGGACAACGATTCACTCAAGACGTTCTCCCAAAATCAGAAGACGTTTAAACAGAAAATAGAGATTATATTCCAAAAACAAGGTTCGATAGATGGACATGAGAAGATTCTAGAATGTTCCCTCAGTATCGACTAGCGATGATTGGATACGAAAGAGCCCATCAGCGTGCAACAACGCGATCATGCGTTAATCTAATCTATGTCCCACTAACAGGTTCGAAGCTAGATATTTTTAACTATTAAGCCACAGAGGTTCTACACAATTTCAAAACCATGAATGAACTACTGACTACAGCATTTCAATCTAGTTATCTATATCAAATTAAAGGATGCGCTCGGATAAAACGACTCTAGAGTAACGAACTAAATTCATTGAGAAATGAAAACTATATGCGATATCCAAAAAAACAATCCATTTTTGTTGTAATTAATGATTAAAACTTTTATTTACTGACTTAAAATCCAATTCAAGTAGCCAGAATAGGAAAGAATATATACACACAACAAACAGGTATAAAAATTTCTCGCTAAAAATTCAATCATATTTAGTTTTTCAATAGCCAATAAAAAGAAGTTGACTTTCAGTTTGCTTAGTCTCTAAATCAAACTCAGCAGTGTTTTTTTTAATTACAGGTAGAGTTAATCGAATAAAATATTACTAATCCTCCTATTGATTATATAACTGAAAAGAAAACGATTAGACAGTTAGTTAGTTAGTTGGTGAGATTACTTTAAAATAACTATTAAGATGAATGTTCATTGCAACCGGTTAAGTTGTTTCACAACCGGTAGTATGCATAACCCTACACATATATATACACATGAAACAGAAAAGAATTAGTTGTCACTACAAATTATGAGTAGATTACACATTACAGATATATATAAACAGGATATGCAATATATATATATATATATATATATATATATATATATATATATATTTACAAGATTATATGTTAAGACTGGGAAAACTGGCTTTCTTTTTCCGAAACAATTTTCTTTTGTGTTGTTTAATCTACTCGAGTGCACTGACAAATGGACTGAGTCATGTAGGCTACCTGGTTGGGGTCTGTGAGACGTAAGTAATCGATGGTTAGAGACCTTGAATGACATGACTCAAAATCATTTGCAATGGCGCAGGTGCATCCACTCTTTGTGTTCTATGAAATTATAACCTTCTGGATTCCTTATCATCTCTATCTTTCTCTTTCTAAACTTATATCACTGAATTATACTTCTTTAATAATATCTTCAAACCCTAGTCTTCTTCATGACCATTAATACTTCTACTATCTCTGCTACTATATGATTTGAACTGACAGTTGCGTTTCTGTGCTAATGAGGTATGACAACCTGAACTGATGTACGTACGTATGAAGTTCTATGTTGAATCTACTCGAGTGCAACAGCAAAATAGTTAGAAAGGAATAATTCTTCACTAGGGACAAAACAAAAACATTATGAAAAACAACAGAATCACGAAAATAATTGATCATTGAAAAATGTAGCCAATAAATTTGAAAGAAATATAATCGTTGGTCATTTTCAGTTGTTTCGGTTATATTTTGCAAACAATTATATTTTGTTTTTAAAAAGAAAAATGACAAATAACTATAGAAAAGATAAATCTCAGTAGTTAGTTTTCTTTATTTAAGAAGAGAGACAAGAAAATAAACTCTGGCAAATTTATGCACGAGATTATTAGGATAAACTGATGACAGATTTCAGTCGTTCAAAACATTTTAGTTCATAGTTGGAAACTTAGCTACAGACTATTCGATTCGGCTGATGATATACAAACTCCGTTTAATGTTTGATACTTTCCTATTTCTTAGTGCAGACAAAGTTAGGGAGAGTCAGTTAGTCAGTCAGTCATATGCAACATAGAACTTCGTATGTAAGTACATCAGTTCATGTTGCCATACCACATCAGCACAGACATAAAATTGTGAATTCAAATCCAATAGTAGGAGAGGTAGTAAAGGTATTAGAAGTAGTCTGAAAGGTTAGGATTAGAAGATATTGTTCAAGAAGTATGATTCAGTGAGAAAAGTTTAGAAAGACAAAACTAGAGGGGTTGAAGAATCCAGAAGATTAGGATTTGAGAGAACACAAAGAATAAATGCACCGGCGCCATTGCAAACGATTTTGAGCCATGTCATTCACGGTCTCTAACCATCGATTATTATCATCCCGTGGACCCCAACCAGGTAGTCGACCACTACCGACAAGGCTCAGTTCGCTTGTCAATGACTTCATGGATTGCTGCCATGTTTTGGTTTGGTCGCCCCTAACATTCTTCCAACCTATTCCTACACTACAAAACAAAGCTCGTCGCCAGTGGTTGGGCATACGCAGCACATGTCCCAACCACCTCAACTGATGAAGTTTCATTACTTCATCTATTGATCTGCCATTCTTACCTAGCACCCGTTTCCTAATAACAACGTTGCTCACTGGGGTGTCCCAGGATATACGAGCAATGCTTCGAAGACACCTATGATCGAAAACCAATAACCTACGAATATCTTCTACTCTCACTGGCCATGTTTCACAGCCATATAGTAGGACGTAGCGAACTACTGCGCAGTACACTTGTCTTTTAGTCGGTAAACGGATATCTCGCCTACGCCATAAGTGACGCAGGTTGGCAAAAGCCAATCGAGCCTTCTGTATTCGTGCAGAGATTTCGTCAGTCACCAGGCCATCAGCACTGATCAGACTCCCCAGATAATTGAAGCGGTCAACACGCTCGACTACTATACTCTCTATCACTAATTCAGGGGCCAATGCAGACCAATCTTGAAACAACATTTTGCATTGTGGCTTAAGGTGGTCATGTCTCTCACCTACAAAATATTATTATTTCAAATACATGTTTATGCCCCCACCTTTGGATGAAAGGTGCTAGATAGGAGATTTGTAAAATATAAATAGTTCCAATAACCCTAACGGTATGCGAAAAAAACTTCGTAATCTGTTCTGCTTTATGCGAACATTCAACCACACAACGAAAAAAATTAAAGAAGTACACATCAGTAGAAAAGGACGTTGATTCTGACACAAAGTTTATTCGGTTTAAGTACCTATATTATACTATCACACTGGAATGAAATTTTCATGATAAATGTCGGAGTAGTAGAAGTAATAACATAATCAGTTATAATAGAATGAATTTATATCTTTTCCAAGAGAAGACAAAATGTTAATAATTCTGTGTCAGGTAGTTTGCACCAACCTACAAAACTCAATGCAACAATCAATTTCATACAGAAATATTACATCTTGTTTGAGTCACTTCTAGCACTAGTTCAAGTTATTCCTAACCCTAACCAAAATTGTACCCAGTCATCAGTCATTGACAACGTAGAACTTCGTAGGTAAGTACAGCAGTTTAAGTTTCCGTATCACATTACCACAGAGATGCAATTGTCAGTTAGAATCCCATAGTAGTAGAGGTAGTAAATGTATTGGCGATAATGGAGAAGATTAGAGTTCGAAGACATGATTCGAGAAGTATAATTCAGTGAAATAAATTTAGTAAGAAAAAGTTATAGGTGATGAGGAATTCAGAACGTCAGGATTCGCGAGAACACAAAGAATGGATGCATCTGCACCATCGCAAACGGTTTTTAGCCATGTCATTCAAGATCTTTAACCATCGATTATTATCATCTCGCAGACTCCGACCAAGTAGTCTACACCTACCAACATGACTAGATCCAGTTGTCTTCAGTGACTTCATGGATTTACGTCAGGTTTTGGTTTGGCTACTCCCAGCAAAATTGTACACCGAGGTAGGCGGTTGTTCGACATATGTAATAATATAACATTTAAATCACTTCAAATGAAGGCTTATAGTCTTTACAATTGACTTATATACCATCTTTACCTAGTGTATGTATGTAAACTGATGATCGGAATGATCTAACAATTTTCAATAGCATGAAGGTGTGCATATCAATATAAACTCATTTACATTTGCGTAAATGTAGTTTATCAAATACAATTTTCAAAAACAAGATAATTCTGTAACAAATCTTAATCACCGATTTGGTCTTGTGTGCTGTTACGGGTAGAAAATATTCATTGGTTACTGG